TAGTCCAGCTACTGGCCGCAAGATGGTAGCATATTGAATAAAATTTTAATATAAAATCGAAACGTCGTAACTTGAAATAAAGGTATTGAACTTTCAACGATATAGCGACTGGGTAAAGTTCAAATTATATTAACAATCCAGAATTTGTTACATCTTTTTAAATTAGAAACTATGACCAATCATTGTCAAGATTTCATAGTGTTTATCATTTTGTTTTTGCGCGTTTTGGCGACATCGGTTCTGATAGTAATCGAGACTTATGGAACTTCCATAGTTTTTTTTCCTCCGTGGCCCTCGCCTGAGAGGAAACCCGTGTCCAGCCAGTGGGACGTATAAATGGGTTGATGTTGTATTCACTTTTGAATTTGAATATTCGCACCCTTGCTTAATAAGGTCACATCTACTAAATGAAAACATTTCAAGAGAAAGGTTTAAAGATTATACGAACAGAATTATTAGCAATACATATTTTTTTATGCTCAAGAGTCGACATTATCTCGGCTCGAATTTAAATTTTTCCCGTAACAATACGGTTAATTTTGCTTGGGCCGAGCGGCAGGGGCTTTACTTCAGAATTTTTTACAAACGAAATTAAAGCCATTGGAAAAATGTATATCATATAGTATACGTGTTCTATTTAGTTCAGTTCATAAAAAAATATTAATGGTATATATAAAATATTTACTGGAGATACAGCGGTTTTAGTGATTTCTCACCGTATAGCAATCAGTGGGGAGTGGCACAGAGACTTGGAGGCCTATACCCAGCAGTGGGTGAAGTCAGGCTGTATATGATGATGATGATAGCAATCAGCGTATATCCTCAATTTTACTATTTATATTTTTTTCAAAGTAATTGATTCAACACTTTTACTGTTATGTGGAATCAACCAAAGCCATTTGAGGTTGTATCGACCCTTAAATAGGAGAGTTGTAAAATTTCACATAACATCATTGACTTACAATTATATGGACGTCGGGTCCGCACTAAAAAGTATCCGAACTTATAGGGCGTTAAAATCGTATACAGAGCGTCATTCACGCTTTAGTCTTCGTTTGTTCGACTGACAGCGGAGCAAGCAAATTTAGACAGTACTGCGATGACATTACAATTTAAATTCAACGTTTTAGCTTTTTCATATTCCTTTACATGTCACTACGTTTAAATAGGTTGACTTGGGACATTTTTTTCGTGGTTTTTGTATTAGACCCGTCGTCCATTTATTTGTAAGTCAATGCATAATATAGATAACTATTTTATGTAGTTCGTATCACGGCTACGACTTTCATGCGATAAAAGCAGTTTTGACGTATGATTACTTGTGGCTTTATTATACTACCGGTAATTTAATTGTAATTAAGGGTAATGTAATTTTTAACCGACTTCAAAAAAAAGGAGCGTTCTCAATTCGACTGTGTGTTTTTGTTTGTACGTTACGGTTTCCGAACCGATTGTGATGATTCTTTTTTTGTTGGATCTTTTCAACTAAAACAGGTAAAACGGGTACCTCAGTAGTGCCCCATTTCAATTTGAAGAAAATATTCCACCTCTAAGGGTGGCAAACTAGGGGATGAATTACTTTTGAGGTCTATTTTATAGTATTCTGTACTGAGATTATTAAGTTTACAAAAGACGATAACTTTTATATGCTTAAATAGGACAGTCTTAAAATGTATAAAGTACTTATACATGTTATAAAGTACTTATTATTTCTATAACATTCATGATGTAAAAACACTTTTGACGTATGATCATATGTGGCCTCATTACACCAAGGGTACATGTTTTTAAATTGAAATAAGAAAAGATTCCTTTTCTAATTTGTATTATGATGAATATTTTCATTCTGCAGGACTCTTTTCGGATGAAGGCGACTTCCATAAATCGCGGCAATATACGGTACACTAATCGCATGAGGGCGATCCTTCCTTTTCTCTGATTTCTTTCTTGTGAGTAAACATGACGATTCCCTATTTGTTGTTAGGGGAAAAAAATAAGAAATATTCCGTGTGCGATAACAAATTTATGTTGCGAGCGCTTCATATCAAGTGGTCGCGTGACTCGATGGGAAAGAGATCGGAAATGAAACAGTCGGAGCCTTTTAGCCTTTCTCATGTAACGTGTAACAATTACTCTTTAAAATAATTGAATGGAATATCTACTTCTCTGATAGTTTTGTCAGCAGTTTACACAAATACAAAAACCGAGTGATTTTGAAATTCGATTTTTCGGTTTTTAATTTTCGGTTATCCGGTTATTGGGTTTTTTCGGATACTTTTTTGGTGTTACCCAAATAATTATTTATAAGTGTCAAAAAACTAAAACGACTTCAAATAGGCATTTATTTTCTAGAATTGACATTACAGCATTGACAATTAAGACACAGCTAAGGTCTTAAAAGTCAATTTTCGAATTATATAAAAAAAACCAACAACAACATAAATATTTTAACATGATTAGTGCTTATTTAGAAATAAATAATTACACAACTTCTTTTTCAGTTTACGTAGTGATATCAGCGTCAGGCTTGAAAATTGGACATATAATAATAATAATAATAACGCAACACACTGATAGTCCCGTACCAGGGTAACCCTGTATCGCGAGTGCCATGGCACACACACACATAAGACATTCACAAATTACACCCAAACTTATGAGAGAAATAAATGTATTACACATATTTCTTCCGGCCTGGGAATCGAACCCAGGACCTCTGCGTGGCAATCCAGGGTGGTAACCGTTCGGTCACGGAGGCAGTTTGCATGCATAAAAACGTTATCGATTAATTTCGCTCCTAGAATCTTTAAAGTCTCTCCAGAAAAGTAGTCATATTGCATACATGTCCTTATTATCCTTTTTTTGAAGTCGTTTAGAAACAATTGAATGTATTGTTATTTTACATATTAATAATCACTAACTTTAAGTGACTTTGTTTTGTTTCGAAATACAAACAATATTCGAAACGATTCGAATTATGTTTTAAAAAGTCCTGACAAAAAATTGGATTTGTTTAATAATATATTATTATTTTGGTTTTTACGGAAATGGGTTTTGAATATAGTGTTTAAAAATGTAAACATAAAACCTATTTGGTTTTATATTATAATACAAGTCTCGAGCACTTAATATCTAAGAGGATTTGAGATGAAAACAACTACTGCTGCCAAAATAAATCAATCGAGGAACGCCTTACAATTTCAAAGTAAAAGAACAAAAGACGATCGTTACTAATGTATCTTAGTAGGATAGTGGTGGTCCTTTGTACCCAAAGACAAATAGGGGCAATCGTTTCGGTCCATCGGGCTTTATGACATGGTACTGGGTCGGAACACTAACACCGTAATAAAGAGAAAGCAGTAGTATATTTCCATACAAGGTCTTACACGCACACAGGCTCTGTTACGGCTTTGCATATATTGTCGCTGATCGCTCGAGACGGAGGATAGTTGAATGTGTACAGACAAGGCGATTGAGCAAATGCCTGTATTGTATAACACATATTATACGTGTCGATGCTTTGTACAATATTTCCAAAGGAAAGGATTTTATCCCATAATCCACAACTTTGTCCTTTTGTGTCAACTAAGAGTTTTGTGTATCTTTTTCTAAACTACTAAGACCCACCAAACGACAATAGCAAAAGAGTTAAAAGCCCAATGTGCATTAAAATGTATCAAATACATGCTTATTATTATGCGGTTATTACGTATTCTTTATTTTTATATATTTACACTTATAGACATTTTCACTATAATGTACTGTGGGCGCTTACATAGGAATCATTTTGTCTGAGTCTGAATCAGTTAAATATTATATACATTTTCACGGGAACACGGGGTCTCCTAAGGCCTCGTGTACATGAAAATATACACAATAACCTCCTAAGGTTAAACACAGGCTATATCATGATGTTTCTTTTCTACATCGATAAAGTAAATGATAACTAAATTTTGATCAAAAAGCCTTGAGAGCTGCATACTGGAATCTACTCGTATGCTCGGCACTGATTTACCAGTGCATGTGTGTGTTTGTGAACCTGCCTCCATGGCCGAACGGTTACCAAGCTGGATTGCCACGCTGAGGTCCTGGGTTCGATTCCCAGGCCGGGAGAAATATGTCTATGGCCTACATTTATTTCTTTCGTGTAATTTGTGCTTGTCTATGTGTGTGTCTATGGCAGCCGTGTCACAGGGTTTCCCTAGTGCGGGGCTAAGAGTGTGTTGCGTTCTGCGTTATTATAATATAAATAGTAGCAGTTGAGTTACTTGTGTAAGAGTTCGTCCAAGGAAGTACCTATATCTGCCACCAAGCAGTAATGTGAGCATTACTGCGTTTCGGTTTTTGTCGCGGCAACTTATGTCTTAGGGCGAAGGGTGCAGTGATAGTGCCTCTCAGGTCTTTGCGATTTAAAGCTCTGAGTGGTACTGGAACTGCTATGGACAGGCGTGTCGGTTACCACCAGGCGCACGACTTGTTCGTTCTGTCACTTGGTACAATAAATAAAAAATTTGTTCTTCTCACCGTTAGCGGCGTTGTACAATTTAACATAAAAACATAAAGTCGTGGTAGAGATACTGTCCTTTTTTTAGTACGGCCATGAACGTGGTACTGAACCGGAACATCAACACGTTTCCGTATCCTAGCTCTAAGGGAAGCCCTTTCGGTTTATGGTTGGTTTAGTTATTTGACATTGACGAAAAAACTCTATTCAAGCTTATAACGAAAACACACGAGCAAATTTGACTTGGAAAATTTTTGGAGGGTAGGTTTTAATAATGAGGTACTTATTTTTATCTTTTGTTCAGACAACAGGTCCATAAATTGCTTAGTTACTGCTCATACATTAGATCTTATCTATAAACCTAAAATATAACGAAAGGTGAAAAGGTTTGGTCAGTTTTATAGACACTTTTCATATATAGTTTTGTTTTATCTTTATCGTATACCTACCTATCAGTTCGGAAATTGTTTTTATTTTCTTATGTTTTAGTACTTACTTGGCACTGCTGCGGTCCTTGACGATTGGGAGAAGCGGGCTTAGGGCGCATCTTCTTAGCGGAGAGAGGTCTTGGATCGAGTCCGGTGACCGCTACGGACACAGTCGTGATGCCACTCATCACGCCGCTTGATGACGGTGACGTTGTGAGATCTGTGGACAGGAGATTGGGAATTAACAAATAAGCGAAACAACCGGTGCACTACTTGCGTTAAGAGTTCAGGGTAATGTTTACTGAGAATGTCTGCATTATTGTTCGCGGATGAAATGTAATCGACATGAATTTGAATGTAGTCACGCATGAAATTATGCCTAATGTCGATATGCTTAGTGCGTTAATGATAACTGTGTTGTTCTTTATTAAGGTTTGTAACTTTGGTTGTCACTAAAAAGTGTTACTGATTTGTCGACGTAGCCGAAAATTTCAGAAATTAACGCACGCACGCACACACACACACATACACACACGCACGCACACACACACACACACACACACACACACACACACACACACACACACTCACACTCTCTCTCTCTGTAGAAAGAACTATAATGAGTAGGTATTATATTGCTAATTAAAATATCAAATATGACTTTATAAAAAAAATATATGTTAAAATTTACATAAGTGATACTTGGCCACTTCTAAGCTTACACACATCCGCTGCTGGATATAAGCCTCCCCTAGACTACGCCAACTCTCCCAGTCTTGTGCCGCACGCATCCAGCCGCTCCCGGCCACCTTTCTTAGGTCGTCCGTCCATCTTGCCGCAGGGCGTCCCTCACTACGTTTTCCTTAACGTGGTCGCCATTCCAGAACAAGTCTGCTCCATCGGCGATCAAACCTCCTGCAGACATGCCCGGCTCACTGCTACTTTAGCTTACTTATTTTACGAGCTATGTCGGTCACTTTAGTTCTCTGACGTATGACCTCGTTAGGGATTCGCTGCATCAGAGAAACCCCAAACATAGCTCGCTCCATCGCACGCTGCGCGACCTTGAGTTTGTGGGTGAGGCCTGTTGTTAACGTCCACGTCTCGGCTGCGTAGGATAGGCCGGTAGAACGCGCTGGATAAAAGCCAAGTTTTCAGGCTTTGTGGCATTGACCTGAAGTACTTTACTCGACTTTAAGAATTCTCATTATGTAACGACTGCATAAAATATTATTAATATTTCACGACAATGTACTCGAGTACTTAAATAATCGAAATTGCCGCCGAAGTTAGGTGGACAAAAGTAACCTGAAAATTACCCTCCTACGTAAATAAGTCTACAAAGTATACATGTGTATATTTTACATTCATGTGAATGTAATATATTTAACAAAATGACTTCGGTTACATCGATCGCCAGCATAAATTCCCTACTGAGAACCACAGGTACGTCAACAGCTTTCAAAATAAACTGAATTTTAACTCAGTTATTTCCAGCCCGACGATTCTGGAATGTTGCTATCGGTAATTTACCAATTGATTAATTCAACGAAATTATGCGATATTTCGATATTTGGGGCGTGTAACCGCAAAGGTAAACATTGCAGAACATATTCCGTAAAATTACTATATTTGCAGTAG